GGCACACCCCGCACATAACCGAATAACGTAGTTAGCTTATTAATTACTTGGCCTGCGTGCCACGTAGGCTTGGTAGTTTTTAGGGTCAACATTTTGGCATGCCTAATGGAACCCAGTGCTAAAACTAAGAAGTTCATGACCATTGAGACATGATCAGTTAAAAAGAAAACAATCATGGGAAAGTCCACGACCAACCTTCCAATCCATGACCTAGGACAAGATGACTCGTCACAAGCACATAATCCTTCTATTGCCGTGACACCTGAGGCCACAAGTGCGGCACGCAGAGAAAAGGAAGTTTGCCTCGGCGGCCAGCCTCATAATGCAGAAACCCCTAACAAAACCAAGGAGTTTTAATTGACAAGATAGTAGAGGATTGCGATGAGGATGGTGGTAAAGGTTCTGATCCACCGACTAGATCATTTCTCCGAAGAAGACTTGAAGAGCAATCTCAGATTTTTAACTGAGAAGTAAAAAACATACTTGAGGTAATACGTAGTAATGGTGATGCACATAATAGATTGCTTGAACTATTGGTTAGTAAAGCTTACGAAGGTGGACTCACAGATCGTTCTTGATAATTGCCACCTAAGAGTAATCCCTTATCAACGATACAGGCCGAAACAAGATCTGCTCAGCTTAAAACGATCGACTTGGAAAAAAGAAGAAGATCAAGCAGTAGATCAGACAAATCCGACTAGAAAGCAAAAACAACATCCGTCGATATGAACGAGGTCCAAAGAATGATCGATTTGGCCTTAAAAAAAGGGCCGAAGTTCCCAAAATTCATCCATCCATACCTAGCTTATGTAGAAAAGTTTGAATATCCTAAAGGCTTTAAAATCCCAGTTTTAGCCTTTTTGTTAGAGAATCGTCCCTGTCATTGTTAGAACATGTAACTTAGTTTACTGCGCAATGCGGAGATGTTAATAGTGACTTCCATAAACTACGACTATTCAACTTCTTGTTGACAGGCTTAGCATTCGTGTGGTACATCAGCCTCCTACCTAACTCCATCCAAAGTTGGGAGGAACTAGGCGAAAAATTCCATGAGCAATTCTATAGGCCAGGAATGGAAATGTCAGTTTCTTCATTGGCTAAGATGGCTCAAGCATCTAATGAGTCACCAATGGATTATCTTACAAGGTTTAAATAGGCCAAAAACTGGTGTCGAGTACCTTCTCTTGAAGTCGAATTTGTTAGGCTCGCTTTGAATGGGTTGACATGGAATACAAAAAGAAATTCCTGGGGGCAAACTTCCATGACGTGTATGAACTAGCTCAACATGTCGAGCAATATGACTATTTACTCCGAGAAGAGAAGGCCTCAAAGTCCCCATCCCAAGGAACATTCTACAAAAACCCCACAGTCAGTTATGCGTCAGCTGAAGCTGAAGAATATGCCAGTATAGACGCAGGTGAGATAGTAATAGACAAACCATATATATGCAAGGTGTTGGCTCATGCCAATCCCAAAGATGCCAAAACTCGCTCACCCCTTGAAGAGTCTACCATCAAAACAGCAAAAGTTTATACTTTCAATATTACTAAGGCCGATGCCATCTTTGATCAACTACTACTTGCCAAAATTATCAAATTTTAGCCTGGGCATAATATCCCCAAGGCCGAAGAATTGAAAGGAAAAACATATTGCAAGTACCATAACTCAAACAAGCACACGATAAACAACTGCGTCGTATTTCGAGATGCCATCCAAAGCTGGATTGACAACAGTAAACTCAAGTTTCCAGAAAAGAAAATGGGCGTTGACACTGACCCATTTCCTACGGCAACAATAAACATGGTAGATGCTCCTCTGCCTGGGGATAAAGGAAAAGGAAAGGCCGAGTTCGTTCCAATGCAACACGTCCCAAAGTAGAACTCTCAACCACGACTCAAGATTGATTTAATTTCAGCTATCGTTGACCTCATGGTAGACTCCAGCATAGAGGAAGCGGATGGGCCGATGATTTTATGTAGTCGGTGCAAGGCAAATGTTATCTTCACTGAGCTAAAGGAGAAACCAACTTAGGCTACAATACAACGACTGCCTCCTACGGCCGCAACAACACCTCAAAATGTGCTCGGTGCAGGCCAACACTAAGGAGTTTTCGATGGGCTCGGCCCTCAAGCATAGATTGACGGGTCACCTTCAGCCAGACAGTGCCTTGATTTCGACACACCATTTTATAACGAGGACTATTATGCGCGCAACTCTAGCAGCTCGAGTTCTTTCGCGAGCCAGAAAATTTTCAAACCGCATGAGCCATGTGACCAACGATGATATAGCTATAATTCTCCTATAGACATGTATACCTCACTTTCTAAATCACAAAAACTTTGGTGCTGGCGAATAGACTACATGGCCCGTCGACAAGTGGTTCGGGCTACCTCAACTGCCAAATGGCAGCCGAAAGAAATAACTGATAATGAAGATGACTGATAACCCCCAACAATAATGGTCGAATTACTTCAGGAAAAGAAGGTGATCAATCACAATTTTGAGACCACAATAGAAGAATCTAAGAAGCGAATCAAACTCCTTCTTTGGCATATGGAGATGAAGGTTTGTTTCGAAAACTTCAGGAAGGAAGTGGAAAGCAAACTTCCTTCGTTGCCTTCACAAGAGCCCTCCCCTCAATTTCTAAGTGAAGCCTTGAAGTACATGCAGGAGTTTCACAAGAAATATTCTGCTAATGACTTGTACGGCCTACCAAAGGCATGTCAAGAGGCTCTTGACCAGGCACTAACTTGTCCTGATGCCGAGAAGATTATTCAAAAGACCGCTGATCTAGGGATGAAGGCCAGGTTCTAGTATATACATGAAGCTCGAGTTCTCAGCTTCGAGGTTGATTTATATACTGATATAGATACCACCAAGCTTCCTTTCTCCCTCAAGGACCTCCAATATTTACGATACCATTTTGAAGTCTTGTCAGCCGTGTCTCTTTTCAGCTTGACGGCCAATGAGAAAGAGCACATGGCACGGCTAGATGCTTACCTAGACATGAGGATGCCCGAATTGCCTATTAAGAGCGTGCCCGTAAGGCATCGCAGGGACAAGATCAATCTCCAATGTTGAGTGAGCTCAAGGATAGCAATCAGAATGAAACAGATTTGGTGGACGCACACAGAAACAATACTTGAAAAGAAAAATGATCAGGTTAAGGACACTCAAAAACAGGATACTTTGCTCGATAGTTCGAAAGACGACGACCATGACCCAATGGGCCATTCGGTTCTCGACAACAAAGAAATTAGCATGGTCCACGTTCTACCAACTAAATTTCAGCTAACCACGTCCCAACCAAATTTCTTGGATGGTGACGTGGTTCTGAAGAAGCAACGCAGGTCGACTTCATCATCATGGAGGAAAACGAGCAAGTAAACAAAGAAGACAAATTCAAAGCAACCTACTGCCGAGCTGTTTCCCTGCTCTTCCTTAGCCAATCTCCATCATTTGAAGCAGTTAGTATGTTATAGCTCACATCGCAGGATATCCAGTCTCCAAAATCTTCATTGATTACGGAGAAACCATCAATATCATGCTCATCTTCATCATGAAAGCACTATGTCGCTTTAACGACGAACTTATTCCATCAGGGGTCACCATGACTAGCTTCATCGGAGACAAATCCCAAACCAAGGGGGTACTTCCTTTAGAAGTAAATATCGCAGGTCGCAATCACATGACTGCATTTTTCATAGTCGACTCAAAAACCAAATATAACGTACTGCTCGGTCGGGATTTGATTCATCAAACATGATGCATCCTTTCATCGTTATATCAAGTTTTCATCTTCTGGGAAGGCAAATCGATTGTGGTTCATCCATCCAAAAATCAGTTGTTCGAGCTAACATGATCCAGGCACATTACTACAATGACCACATCAGCTACATCACCTTGCAAGGTCTTAACGATGAAGGACGGCCGACTCAGATTTCGGTTCAAAAAGCCATCGAGGTTGGCACTGAGATTATTCACCAAGATTCGACGAGACTCAGGTTAGCTGACCTTATTACCGATCCCAATGTGTGACACTAAACACCCCGAATGCCGGGCCGCGATTTCATCTACAATGAAACAACTGTTACCCCACTATACTATTTCCAAACAACCGAATTCGGGCATAAACCTCGTGAAGTTTCTCATTAAAGGAGATAATGGTTCCATCATTTCCCTTAACAAAGTACCAAGTTGCCTCTGCCGAGCTCAAAGACAGTCGGCCTAAGTCAAAGACTTATTAGAAGAAATAAATGTTGGAATGGTCGATGACCCTCGGCCATTATTTATCAATGCTTTGTTACCCCGACCCATGAAAACTGAACTTTGTAAGTTACTATACAAATTTAAAGATTGTTTTGCTTGGAGTTACCATGAGATGCCTGATCTAGATTGAACTCTCGTCGAGCATGAATTACGCATCAAAGCTGGTTGTAAGCCTTTTTGCCAACCCCTCCGCAATTCTCGACCAAAGTACAACTCGGCATAAAAGAAGAACTAGTTCGACTTTTAAAGGCTAGGTTTATTCATACTACTTGATACGTCGAATGGTTGGCGAATATCGTACTAGTGCTAAAGAAAAGCGTTGCTCTACGCATTTGCATCGATTTTCGTAATTTGAATTTGGCAACCCCCAAAGATGAATATCCGATGCTAATTTCAGATTTGTTAATTGACCCCGCGACCAACCATGAAATGTTGTCCTTTATGGACGGTCATGCTGGCTATAACCAGATCTTTACCGTCGAAACCGATGTTCACAAAATTATCTTTCGTTACCCAGAGTCACTCAGGACTTACGAATAGGTAGTCATGCTATTTAGCCTTAAAAATACTGGTGCCACGTACCAACGTGCCATGAATACCATTTTCCATGACTTGATTGGTACAATCATAGAGGTATATATCGACGACGTAGTTGTCATATCGAAACGTCGCCGAACCTATTTAAATGACCTTCGACAAGCTTTCTTTGTATGTGCCAGCATAGCCTTAAAATGAACTCAGCCAAATGCGCATTCGGCTTATCAGCCAACAATTTCTTGGGTTTCCTTGTGCATTATCCTGGCATCAAGGTGGACAAAAACAAGGCACGAGCAATAATCGACGCTCCACCTTCGACGACCAAGAAGCAACTACAGTCCTTACTTGGCAAGATTAATTTCCTTCGCCACTTCATTGCTAATTCTATGGGAAAAATGAAGGTGTTCTCCACGCTTTTGAAAGTCATGGATTCTGACACATTTGAATGGCGCGAAGAGCACCAAGACGCTTTTACGCAAATCAAGGTTTCCCTCCACAACCCCACCCGTACTTGTGCCTCCTCGGTGCAACAAGCCTCTCAAGTTGTATATTTCGATGGTCGAGGAATCCATTGGTTGTCTTCTCGCACAAGACAACAATATCGAGAGTGAGCAGGCTATTTTCTATCTTAGTTGGAATTTGAATTCACCTGAGATTAATTATTCACCCGTCGCCGTCGAGAAAACTCTGCTTGTTTTTGTTTTTCTCCGCGTCAAAACATTGACATTACATGCTCCCTTTGGTTATGCAGGTCATCGCCAGACAAATGTCATTCATTACATGCTCACTTGGCCTATAGTAAAAAGCCGAATTGGGAAATGGAGAATGGCATTCTTTGAGTTCATTTTGCAATATGTGCCCCAAAAAGTAGTCAAAGGGCGAACACTAGCCGATTTTTTGGCTCAACACCCCTCTTCATATGGTTTCGGGGGCAATGAAGTCGAAATTGGCATGGTAGAAACACGTGATAATTATTGGACGATGTACTTTGATGGCTCTAGTACCTTAACCTTGGCTGGTGTTGGCATCGTCATTCAATCCCCAGATCACTGCCGCTGGTATTTCTCTCTTAAGCTAGATTTCAATTGTACGAATAATCAGGCCAAGCATGAAGCTCTTATCATCGGCCTTAATGTCCTTCACAACTTAAGAGCAGCCCACATCCTTGTCCTTTGTGATTTAGAACTTGTGATTAACCAACTCAATGACATTTTTCATTGCATGAGTTGTACTTTAGCGCTCTATCACATGGTTGTCAACTATTTGGCCAAGTTGTTTAAGGGAATCACATTTGAGCACATCTCGCGTGTTCGAAACACTGATGCGGACGAACTATCACAAATAGCCTCTGGAGCACACTCTTAAGGGGCAAACAAGGCCGGGTGATGCGAGAATTACTTGACACTCAAATTAAACCCTCGTTTGACAATTGTAGTAGAATGGATAAGTGAGGGATCGTTCTAGACCGGGGATTAGGAGGGCTTGCTAAAACCTTCTAAATTGACTTAAAAACATAAAAACACAATATAAAACACTATTTAATGCTCGAAGAAAGCAAAACTAAAAATAAGAAAGATTAAGACTAAGACTTCAACGAAATAGGGAGGAATTGGATTTGGACGAATTTAAACTAAAACGTAAAAACAATATAAAATGTTAAACTAGACTCAAAGAATGTGAAATTAAACGTTAAAACACTAAGACAAACCAAAAGAATCAAAATGCTTTAAAAACACAAACTAAATTGATTTCTAACTATATTGCACATTAAAACAAAAGGGGGATTGAGATTTGATGAAAATTGAAATAACGAAACAAGAATGTAATTGATGAAATAAGATGGTTGGTGAATTAGCTAGAGGTTCTTTCTCCACACATGATATTTATGCATATGAATCAATTTCCAGTTATTCCTTCATTGAATTATGAACGACAATGCCCCAAATTAACCGTGACATCACTAGTTAACCCTCAGATTTTCCTTATATTATTGGATTGGATGGCATCATTCGACAACCCAAAACATTCTCAAAAGTTCCCTACATGTCATCATAATAGAGATACAATCGAAGATCATTAAGAATAATGAAAACCATAAGCATTGACAAAGCACTTGCAACTATGACATCATGTTACTCATGCTAAGAATTAAACTTAACGCGATCGTGACAAGTGACCTTCACTACTTTCAAGTATAAGTTAGTAACGATTATGTGAAACCTTCTTAAACTTTAGCCACATATTCATGCATGCTAATTAAGTGTCGACCCTCAATCAACAAACACAAATAAGTTAATCATCAAATAGTTAAGCCAATTGCATTCACGAATCAAGAGTTCATAACCGGAATTCATCAATTCATATTACATAAATAATCATGGTATTGAAATCACCCCTAGCTAAAAAGGGTTTAGTTCCTCATAACTTTGAAATCAAAGAAACACGTAAACATTCCAACAACTCAAACGTGAATTGTATGAACGTTTAGGCCCTCTTATCTTCCATTCCTCATATTACAAAACAAAGAGAATTGAATTTAAACTTTGAAATCAAAGAAACACGTAAACATTCCAACAACTCAAACGTGAATTGTATGAACGTTTAGGCCCTCTTATCTTCCTCTTTATTGTGGCACAAGAACTAAGGGATGTTGTAGGTGTGTTGAATGGATTGGGGGATTATGGAAATGGAAGAAATGGAGGAGAAATGGAAGAAAAACTCACGGCTAGGGAGAAGATGGAAGTGTTTGTGGTGTGTTGTGTATGAAATGAGATGATGAATGAATGAATGAATGCAAGGGTATTTATAGGAGTAGTGGAGGGAACATATAGGGAGAGAATGGATGAGAGAGCATGTGAATGATAGCTAGGAGAATGATTAAAGGGGTGTGAATGGTTGGAAATGCATGTGGGTGAATTGGTGGTGCAATGATGAAAGAATAAGTGCATGTGTGTGTTTTGTGTTGGAATGAATGTGGATGCATGATGAAAAGTTAATAAATAATGCATGTAGGGTTAGGAAATAAAATCATAACTTAAAGGGGGGATGATTAAAGGATGTGGCTAGGTTGGAAAGGTGTGGAAGATGGATGGAATTAGGGGGAATGCATGGCAATGATGGGGAGTTCTTTGGTGATGAATGAAATGATGAAGAGTGAATAAATAATGCATGTAGGGTTAGCTAGGTTGGCTTTGTTTGGGTGCATGTGAGTTAAAGAGGGAGAATGTGGTGAAATGATGAAGTAGGAAGGTGGAAATGCATGTGAGATGTTGGAAAGGAAATGGGAATATGAGTGCATGTGGGTGAATGATTTGTGGTGCAATGATGAAGAGTTGCATAAAGAATGCATGTAGGGTTAGCTAGGTTGGCTTTGTTTGGGTGCATGTGTGTTAATGGTGGTTTTGCATGTGAATTGATGGATTGTTTTTGATGGAATGGATGGTTCTTTGCATGGCTTTTGAAGTGATTGTGGGCTTTGGAATTGGAAGGAAATGCATGGCCTTGGGGTTGGTTTAAGAGAGAATGGGCTAGGCCCTTTGTTTTATGTCCAAAATGAATACAAGGCCTTCAAATTCGTCCAACACTTTGGCTCCAATCATATGCTATCCATTCCAAGCCCAATTTTGCTCCAAAATGCTCCAAAATGCATCTTTTTGCTTCCTTAGCCATATGAACCTAAAAACACACGAAAATGGCTTAAACTACTAAAACAACTATGAATTAACAACATAGATGCACGAAAACAAGCTAAGTAAGTCGCCTAAATATGCTCCTATCACCGGGCAATACAAGTAGTACGACGACCATACCCAACCCTGGTTAATCACCAAGTTCTCGAACACAATCGCGTGATTTATACACGAGTCATGTCCCTACCTTCATTGTTGGAATGAGAGGTTTCTGTAGATGTTTGCAATGTCGAGACATTACCAGACAATTGGAGAAAGTCGATTATGTGATATCTCGATAACCCAGTGACAAACACGACCGGAAAACAAGGGTCCATGCAACAAACGACATGTCATACCAGAATGAGTTGTATCAGAAAGGTGAGGATGGTTTATTTTTACTGTGCCTCGGCATGCAGGAGGCTGCCCAAGCAATTACAAAAGTACACGAAGGAATTTGCGGAGCTCATTAATCTGGATGTAAGATGCGTTGGTTGCTTTACCGACATAGCTATTTCTAGCTGAGTATATTGAAAGATTGTATCGAGTACGCAAGGGGATGTGTACAGTGTCAAATTCATGGGCTTATACAGAAAGCCCCAGCCGAATTAATCCACTTGGTCACCAAACCATGGCCGTTTAGAGGATGGGCCATGTATGTAATCGGTAAAATTACATCATCTTCTGGAGCTGCTAAACACGCATGGATACTTGTGGCAACCGACTACTTCACTAAGTGGGTCAAAGAAAAATCATATGTCGAATTAAAATCCAAGGAAGTTCGCAATTTTGTAGAAGAAATCATTGTCACCAGATTCAGCATACCTGAAACGATCATAACTAACAACAGCATAATCTTTACAGCCGATAGGTTTAAAGAATATATGGTGAAGTTGACAATCGACTTGAACAATCCACACCATATTACCCACAAGCAAATGGACATGTCGAAGCAAGTAATAAAGTTTTGATCAGCATTCTAAAAAAAATGATAAAAGAAAAGCCTAGCACTGTGGCATTTGAAGTTGAACGAAGCCTTATGGGCATATCAGACTTCACTTCGATCAGCAACAGGATGACCCCGTATGCATTAACTTATAGACATGACGCGATGCTATAGGTCATGTTAAGAATAAATTCATTGCGCGTAATTGAGCAAAGTAGTTTGTTCAGTGCCGAATATAATCAGGCCATGGGACAAAAGTTAGAAGACTTGGAGGAAGTTTGGCTTGATGCTTATAATTTATTAGTGGTACAGAAAAAGATTGTCGAGCAAGCCTATAATCAACGAGTCAGAAAAAAAATATTCGGCAAGGAATAGTGAGTTTGGCAAACCGTGTTACCTGTAGGAATTAAAGACCCTAGATTCAGGAAATGGTCACCAAATTGGGAAGGACCATTCATCGTACACAAAGTTCTCGGCAAGGGGGCATACCACCTTAGAGATTGAATTGGTCTAATTCATAAACTACCGATCAATGGGAAATTTTAAAAAAAATACTATCCAATCACTTGAGAGATGCGAGAATAAAAGTTTATTTCAATAATTTTTGCAAAAAGGGTGTACAAGTAGAACTGATCGACCAATTTATAAAGACAAAGTTCTAAGGGGTCGAAGGAAAGAAGGCATCGAGGGTGGCTTTCAACTTTAACCTACCTCACTTCGCCCATTGTGATTTCAGCTTGCCAAGTTCTCTTATCCATCTTCAGTTGCTCGATCAGTTTTGCGCTAGCTGCGTATTCAGTCAAATGAGGTTTGCTTGACTAAAAATCTTTTGTGAGATCAGAGGCAATGGCCGACCTCTGACATTGGAGTGCGGCAATTTAACGGTTGAGGTCGATAATTTGTCGGTCGAGGTCGGCCAGTTGTTCGTTCTTCACTTTTATCGCCTCGACCTCTGGATGAATAGCTTATTGAGCAACCGATGCAGCCTTAAAGTCAT